AAATTAAAGACATTCTCACAATTGGGGTAGATGTTTTCTTTTGTAAACAAGGAAAGAGAGAAGTCAAGAATCTTGTCTAAGATCATCGCATGGTGAAAAGTAGATAGACGATTTGAATTCAGCTCTTCCAAATTCCAGGATGACAGACTTTCTGTTAAACTACAGCTGCTGTGTGCTTGTGTGGCTCTTTATCATGTTCAAGGTATTTTCACTGATGTTATATGCTGTGAGGCTCACCACAAACCAGTGAGGCACACAAGGTTTTGACCGATTAAAACAGACTTATGGTGTTTGTAGTCTAGGGTTACCCAAGGCAGCTGCAAGCTGTGTCCAGTGTGGACACAGCTGGCTTTCTAGTCCCCACTCATTCTTGGCTTTCTTTTTCATCCTCATCCTTGGTGAGTTTCTAAGGCACAAAGTCATCTTGAGAACAGCCAGGGCAGAGCATAATTAATTCTTTCTATGTCCCCTGAGTGTACTAATTCTATGTGTTTACTGTTTGGTGTAGTGCTGGACACTTCAGGTTTGGCAGCAAGAACCTTTACCCACTGAGCAATCTTGCTGGCCTCCACACTAAACTTAAAAAAATGTAAATTAATTTTGTTCAGAATTTCATACAATATATTTCGGTCATATTACCTCTGACTTCTCCCCCTAATTCATCCAAGATCCATCCCCATCTCCCTATCCCCCCCCCCAACTTTGTGTCCCTTTTAAAAAAAATAGTCCACTGACTCTAGGTTTTGCTGCCTAGCATTCCTGGGTATGGGCTTTCCAGTGGAGCATGGTTGACCTACCATAAGCCAAACTCTTAAAGAAAATAGACTCTTCCTCTCCCTGAAGACATCAACTGTTCATAACTCCTCAGTTAGGGGTGGGGTCTTACAAACTCCTTCCCATTTCATGCTAGAATGTTGACTGGCTTGATCTTGTGCAGGTCTTGTATGAACAGCCACACGTGCCGGGAGTCCATGAGAGCCGCCGCCCCTGTCATGTCCAGAAGACACCATTTTGCTCTGGTTCTTCCTGACCTTTGGCTCCCTACAACTTTTCTCTTACCTCTTCAACAATGGTCCCTGAACCTTGGGGCTAGGGTGTGACATAGCTGTCCCATTTGTGGCTGAGCACTCCACTGACACTAATTTTCTGCACTTTGACTAGTTGTGAGTTTCTCCACTAACTACCATCCACCGCACAAAGAAACTTCTCTGATGAGGTCTGAGAACTGCATTAATGTATGAGTAGAGAGATAAGATTTTAGACGGCAGTTTGATATTATATCCATTTATCAGAATAATAGTAGTAGGCTCATCCTTCACTCCTGGGGCCTGTGAGCTCCCTAATAATGAGTTGTTGGCCAGATTTACAGTACCATGCACATCTCCTCCTATGGAGCAGGTCTAAATCCAATCAGAAAGTGGTTGGTTACTCCTGTAATGTTCATGCCACTGTTGTACCCATTTGAATATTTTGCCATGCTGGTCACTATTGCAATTCACAAACTCACCAAAAATTTTATAGTTTACTTGTTTAATGCTCACAATAATCCCATGGGGTAGCTCCATTTTACAATTGACAAAACTGGACACGTAAAAGTTAGGTAATTTGCCTGGGGTCAAGGAGCTGGTGAAGCTGGGACCCAACCAGGTGAACTGGCTGCATATGAGCTGCAGAGCACAGGGGTGAGAGTTATTGGAAGGGCCCTTGACTCTGGTCCTCCAGTCTTTAGATCAATCTTCCCTAGACTGGCACATTCACAAACCATCCCAGAAAACCAGTGTTGGCCACCAACTAGACTGGGATCCTGCAGGTATACCAGCCAGTGGTTTGTAACGAATCTAGATTGTGTTTCTCCTGCTGTTGTCATGCTGTGTAAACATCATGTGGAGTTAACAATTGGAGAGCTTGGCTGCACTGTGTGAGATGTAAAGATGGGCTAGTATGGGGGTGGGGGACAGTAGAGCTCCTAGAAGTTAGTCACTCATTTGTGTACCTGTTCTGTCATCAAGTCTCTATGTCCCTACCTCTGGCCCAGATGGAACATGTGTAGCCTAGACCACAGCTTCTTTTTTTTTCTTTAATATTTTCTTAATTATTTTTATTTTGTGCGTGAGTGTATTGCTTGCGTGTAGGAAGGTGCACCTGTGTGTGCAATGCCCATGGAGGTCAGAAGAGGGTGTCGGATCCCCTGGAACTGAAGTTAGGGACAGTTGTTCACTGCTATGTGGGTGCTGGGAATTGAACCTGGGTCCTTTGCAAGAGCAGTCAGTACTCTTAACCACGAGCCATCTCTCCAGACCAGACTACAGCTTCTCAAGTTGAAGATTGTGACTCCATATGGGATCCTGTGAATGAATGTGGGGGTCATGAAAAGTTTGGCAATTGTAAAAGATTCTGAAAGCACAATGAATGTAAAATCATGAGGTGTTTCTGGCAGCACTCCCCCATGTTACATTGGGGATTTCACTGCAACCTTGGCTCTAACTTTTTGGTTGTTAGCCTTAGCCTTTAATGGTTGAGTTACCTCTCCAGCCCCAGACTTGGTACTGAACACACAGCATGAGCACATTGCAGTGTGCAGCTGTTACACCACACAATACCAAAGATTGATGCCTGAAACACTTTGGCTCCATTTTGAGACCATAGTGTTACACATTGCAGTGTTTACTGTACATATAAGATTTTCTGCTCTTATAAAAACATAATGCTTAAATTATAGAAAACAAAGACAGTATTTTTCTACCATCATTCATTAGCATGTATCAAATGCATATATCTTTGTATTGTATTATGCTTGAATGTTTGATTTTAAAAATTGATATTTCAACTGCTGATTTGAGCTTCATGAGTTTTGGCTTGGGATTACGACAAAAATTTCCAGCAATTTCTAAAATGGTCCCTAAATATACGTCTGCCATTTTGTACTGTATATTTATGTGAAGTGGTAGTCTCAGCATTGATGATTTTAAAGTCAAAATGTCAATCAACTCTGAAATATGTTGAAGATGCTGTATGTCCTGCAACATTGAACACTTAGCCAAGATTTAATGCTTTATCAAGCACATACATCTCATTAGAATGCAAATTATTTTCATCTTTAATAAATGATAAAAATTTTTGTACATTAAAGAATTATTTCAGAGACTGGAGAGATGGCTCAGTGGTTAAGAGTACTGGCTGCTCTTTCAGAGGACCCAGGTTTGATTCCCAGCACCCATGTGGCAGCTAACAACCATCTGTAACTCCAGTTCCAGGGGATCTGACGCCCTGTTCTGATCTCTGCAGGCACTGTATGATATGATGCACTTACCTACATGCAGGCAATAAATTCATACACATAAAAATTTAAAAAATAAAGAAAATATTTTAAAATTATTGTAAAATAAATTAATTTATCATTTATTATCAGTAAATGTTTGATTTGTATATCTACTTTATCTACCTATATAGCTGGAATCATGTAAAAGTTTCTCCAGTAAGAAAGAGGTTTCAAGTGGAAAAAGTTCAAGACATTCCAGCCTAGAAAAGGGCCTCCTAAACTTCCTGGATCAGGATTCCTGTATGGTTTGTTGTACATACAGACACCCAAGCTCTTCCTCTGCATATTTTCATCCATAGACTAGTGTAAGGATGGGTCTAGATATTTGTGATCTCAGACATCAGCTCCGAGTCAGTTAATACTTTTATGGTTTGCTTGCCCTGATACACTAGGAGCTGGGCAGGCAGAATGGGAAGCACTCAAGTCTTTCCATGGTGGAGCTCAGGGTCTTGAGAGGTACTGATACTGATACATGAACAGGGCCATGATCAGAAAAGTATAGGATGTGGCTGGGCATGGTGGTGCATGCTTTTGATCCCAGCACTAGGATGAGAGGCAGAAGGATCTTTGCGAGATCGAGGTCAACCTGGTCTATACAGTGAGTTCCAGGCCAGATGGGGATATGGGGAGGCCTTGTCTCAAAAAGTATAGGGTATGATGGAGAACAGAAGAAGGTACTGACCAGACCCGCTGGTGGAATGGGAAGGAGATCCTGATCTCTGGATCTGAGTTGTGGCCAAGTTGTGCCACACACTCCCATTCTAAGATGAGTGGGGCCCTTGATCTGACTCCATTAGCCAGCTGAACAGTCTCCGCAGTCTGCCCCCTCCTGCTTCTGGATCCAGGAACCACCTGTTGTTTGTTACGATGGTGGCACAGGGCTGCCTGGTGTGAGACCCCTCCTTGCACAGTCCTCCCTTTCCCTGGTCTCGTACTTCTTTGCTCTGAATCTTGGGCTTCCATTCCCCAGAGACCAGACATGCTGGCTTGACTTTAGTTTCTTTTCTACAACCAGTATGTCTCACCTCAAACTCCAGGTCTGCTTAGATGGAAGCCTTTTGCTGAGGAGGTAAGAGACTGGACCCCATGTTTTCAATGCACTTCTTACCCTCAGTCCCATTCTAGATGGTCTCTGAAATGAAGGGCCCAGCTGACATGCCATGAGAAGACAATGTCTAATGATGGGAGAAGCAGCTTGGTCACTGCTGGAGCTGTGAGTACTCTGGCACCACAGGGAGGGACTCATAAAAATCATTCAGTGAATTTAGGCTTGGGATGAGGGCAGCATTTCTTGGAAGATCCTGAATAGTCTTCATTGCTTGTGTCATGGAGACCAGTGGCTCCTAATCCTTGGCCTAGAGCCAGTTCATCCTGCTATATTGGGTTCTGTTTGGCCCCCTAAGACTCTCGGGGAAATCACATGGAGGGAGGGAGGGAGGAGAACTCTGTCTTCTGTCAACTGAGGCAGGTTTGGGTGATTAAGCTAAAAAGGCAAAGCCATTTTGGCCCAGAGGATTATCTTTGAGGTGTGCTGGGAACCAACAGGTAAGTTGTTGCCCGTGAGGCAAACCAAACCCCCATGACTCTCTGCTAATTGCTCGCCTCTCCTGCCAACCCAAGTGGCCTGGCATATAAAGGCCAGCCTCTTCTGTCGTCCCCATCCTCTCTTCAGTCCTCTGCTCTGCTAAGCAATTGACAGCTCACCATGAGCAGACAAGCCTGCAAGAAATCCTTCAGCCGTGGAAGCTGGGGCTTCTCTGGTCATTCGGCCGTGGTGTCCGGCAGTAGGAAGAGCTGCGTGGCACGCTCTGGGGCAAACAGTGGAGGGACCTATGGGTTCTGGAGTGGAGCAGGTGGCTTTGGCAGTCACAGCCTCTACAGTCTGGGTGGAAGCAAGAGCATCTCCATCAGCATGACAGCTGGTGGCTCCCGTACTGGTGGCTTCAGTGCAGGGCATGGCAGCTGTGGCAGTGGCTTTAGGGGTAGCTATGGAGGTGGATTTGGTGGTGGCAGGGGAATGGGAGGTGGCTTTGGGGGAGCTGGTAGCTTTGGTAGAACAGGTAACTTTGGCCCTAGTGGCTGCCCTGGGGGAATCCAGGAAGTGACCATCAATCAGAGCCTCCTGCAGCCACTCAATGTGGAGATTGACCCCCAGGTTGGGCAAGTGAAGGCCCAGGAGCATGAGCAGATCAAGACCCTCAACAACAAGTTTGCCTCCTTCATCGATAAGGTGAGGGCAAAGTCCAGATGTGTGGTTGGAGGGGGTGGTTTTGGGCTTCCAGGGTTTAGTATAGGAAGTTGCCAGTGGGGTGCTTGGCTCTTGACCCTACCTTGCTTTCTCTGACAGTGAGCATACTTTTCTTGCTTTTTGGGCTCTGTTTTTTTCCATCTGTGGAATGAGGGAAGGATTTCTGGTCCTATTTTCCCCTCAAGGGACAAGGACCTAAAACAAGAGTCTTAGTTCGGAAGAATTTAGGTACAAAACTAGCATGCCCACTTTGCTTTTCATAAGCAGTTTCTTGGTATGCCCAGCTAGCCGTTAATCTTGCATGAATAAAAATATTGGGACCACCTCTCCATATCCCTAGCAGTAGCCTTACCTTCCCAGGGATGCTGTGCCTCTGCTGATGGTAAATTGAACTGTCCGTGGTGGGGCAGAGGAGGGCATGCTGACTCCATGGAGAGAGGAGCCCAGGATTGGAAGTGAACCTAGGTCAGCTGCAAGATGGCTAACTGAAGAGGTCTTCTTGCATGAAACATCTAAGGAAAAGTTAGACCTCGTTAGCTATTTTCACTACCTTTATTGAGGCAAAGGAAGTTTATGTCTAAAGTAGTTAAAAATAACTTTATTCTCGTTGACTGCCTTTGGCTGTATTCTGAAGGATCCTAATAGATCTAAGGCAGTTCCGGATTTGACTGAGCCTTGCTTTGCTTATCCATTGATGGGATGATAACACCTGTTGTCCAGGTGGTTGTAAGGATTAAGTGACACAGACTATGTGAAAATGACAGGGGTATCGTAAGTACTCCACACGCTCTAGCTCTCCTTTTTCTAATCCTCATCCTGTTCAAATTCTGAAACACAGAGGTGACTGTAGGTTGAAGAACTGGGTCTGCTCACCATCAGTGCAGACTTTGGGATGAGTGGCCCCACTTGCTAAACTCAAGGACTCGTTTCCTTCCTCCCCTGATGCAGGTGCGTTTCCTGGAACAGCAAAACAAGGTCCTGGAGACCAAGTGGGAGCTGCTCCAGCAGCAGACCGCAAGCTCCAGCTCAGGTTCCCAGAACTTGGAGCCTTTCTTTGAATCCTACATCAGCTGTCTGCGCAAGCAGCTGGATTCACTTCTGGGGGAAAAGGGGAACTTGGAGGGAGAGCTGAAGAGCATGCAGGAGCTGGTGGAAGACTTCCAAAAGAAGTAAGGGTCACATTTGGCATTTAAATGAATCTTTATTCAACACAGCCACTCAGAAGTGGGTGACAAGGTGGGGACTCACACCTTGTGTAAATGATGACTGCTCCATATTTTCCAGTCCCCAGCAGGTTCCCCTATTATAGCCGCTCAGATGGACAAGGGTTCCCAGTTTTTGAAGTCCTTGAGGGTGGAGAACGTCACACTACTATCAGCTAGGAGTCACCTGAGAACACTTGTCAGAAAGGCATACTTCCATGTTCTAGTGGATGCTATTCTGAATCAGTGTGTGTAGCACAAGCCTGGTGTCTGAGCACTCCCTGGCCCCTGGGGTTTCTAGCACTGCATTTGTAAAGCACTCGTTCAGTGTTTCCCATTCCGGCCCTGCTTCTGCAGCTACAATGGCCTCCTCCCGCAGGTTCCAAAGTGAACTTCACATCCACTGACGTCTGCGAGGGATAAACAAGGTCCTGAAGGTGGGCAGGAACTCCAGACATCCGCAGGGGTCAGGACTCACATGGATAGGTACACCTGGTTCTGGGAGGCCTTATTTCATCACCATCCCACAAGTGGGATGCCTGCTTGGTGGCATGCTCCAGGCTAGGCTGTAGGAGTCCAGGAAAATTTAGATTCACATGTCCCAGAAACCTCTTTACTGCTAGAATGGCTTCTGTCCTTCAGTATGCATGAAATCCAGACCATGGTCAGAGATTCTAGTCTATTTTTTAAATATTTCTTTTGATTTTATGTGTAGAGTGTTTTGCTTGTATGCCTGGTGCCAGTGGAGGCCAGAAGAGGGAATCAGATCCCCTGGAACTGGAGTTACAGACAGGTGTGAGCTGGCACGTGGGTGCTGGGAAGCAAACTGTGTCCTACGCAAGAGCATCCAGTGCTCTTAACTGCTGAGCCATCTCTCCAGCCCCAAGAGAAAGAGATTCTAGTTTCTATTACTTTATTGCTCTATTTATTTATTTGTGTGTGTATGTGTGTGTGTGTGTGTGTGTGTGTGTATGTGTGTGCGCGTGCACGTGTGCTGTGTATGTGCCACAGTACGTGTGTGGAGGTCAGAGGACAACTTGTGGGAGTCAGTTCTCTCCATCATATAGGTTCCAGGAATCAAACTTAGGTCATCAGACTTGGCAGCGCATGCCTTTACCCGTGGAGTCATCTCACCAGCCCCATTCTAGGTTTTTTTTTTTTTTTTTTTTTTTTTGAGACAGGGTCTCCCTGTAGCCCCAGCTGGCCTGGCACTTGATCCATAGAACAGGCTGGCCTTGAACTCACAGCAATCTGCCTGCCTCTACTTCCTGTCTGCTAGGATTAAAGGCTTGTGCCACCACTCCCATGCCTATTCTAGTTTTTTACGGATAAGAATTCCATAGTCATGATGCAGTCAGAAGACATGAGTTCATTCTTATCCCAAATTCCTCTATGAAGCCACTGTAAAGGGGAACCAAAACAGAAATGCCAAGTGGGGACAAACTACTCTTTTGGTCCCCTATGAGCACACTGTGCTCTGTGAAATTGACCAAACAGCTCAGGCAAGAAGTCTGGGCTCCTGACCCACTCCAGATTGTACACACCTCAGTTCCTCACCAGACTTGGAGGAGGGCATGGTAGCCTCCAATCTCTGAGCCATCTGCAGGAAGGACAGGTCACATGGCTTGTACAAAATGACAATTCAGTGTCCTTGTTAAAAAAAAATCCAGAAGGATTTCAAGATAGTGCCAGCAGAGCACTTAACCCAAGGCGAGGACCCAGTGTGGGCCTGAGTGACTGCACAGGTTACGCATCCAGAAAGCAGGTCCTGTTTCTGGGTGAGGAGATTCTGTGGCAGCATGTAGGGCCCTCATCTTTCTCACTTCTGAAATGTCACTGTCTCAGTATGTGGCTCTTTCTGATCCAGGTATGAAGATGAGGTCAACAAGCGCACTGCTGCAGAGAATGAGTTTGTAGGGGTAAAGAAGGTGAGAGGGTGGAGAAGGTCCCAGCTCCCTTTGTTCCCCACGGGGAGGGGATGGTGGAGGGTGGGGGTTGTGGATGGGGAACAGATCTGCTGATGCTGCTGATGCTGGGCTTATAGCTTTACTTACAGCTTTGAGAGATGTTTAGTGAAGGAAACTTTTCATCTTCAACTGTAGCTAATGAGCTGGTGTCCTAGTTTGATTTCTGTTGCTGTGATAAAAACATTGATGAAAACCCTTCAGTTTACAGTTCATCATGGAGGGAGCCAAGGCAGGAGCTCAGGCAGGAACCAAAGTACAGCCACGGAGTGCTGCTTACTGGCTTGCTCTTCTGGCCTGCGCTTAGCTTGCTTTTTTATGTAATCCAAGACCACCTGCCCAGTTGTGGTACCACCACAGTGGGCTGGGCCCTCCACATCACTCAGTAATCAGGAAAATGGCCTACAGACATGCTCACAGGCCGATCCCATGAGGAAATTTCTCAGTGGAGGCTCCCCTTGCCAGGTGTCAAATTGACAACGGAACGTGTCTAGCACAGCTGGCTATTAATGTGAGATAAGCATAATGCATATTTTATGTGTAGAACCTATTAAGATGTTTTAGCCTACACACACTTTGAACCTCGTTGATTACAGCAGTCAACTACAGCTCACTGAAATGAGTCATAAAGATGAAGTGAAAAGTCTCATCTCCATTCAGCCGATTGATTTTGTTACTGTCTAGTCACAGAAATATCAGGAAATTGGGACTTTTTGACCCTAAAGATAGATATTAGTGCTTGGCTGATTGTATTTGGTAACAGCATCAGTTTTGATTGGCTAAAGAAATAGAAAGGAAGAAAACCATTTTGTTTTAATTCTTTTTAAAAGGGAAGGTGAGAAGTTACACTTAGAAGGGCTGGGGAGGGACAAACAGGAGAGAGACAGGCTCAGAAAGAGCTGTGGGTGGAAGGGAAGTAGGGGACATCCTTTCTGTTTATCTTTCTTTCAGGATGTGGATGTGGCTTATATGAACAAGGTAGAGCTACAGGCTAAAGTGGACAGCTTGACAGATGAAGTCAACTTCCTGAGGACTCTCTATGACATGGTGATTTCTCCGTTTGCTGCTTAGAGACTGCCCATCGGCAGCTTCCCAAGCATAATGTTAGGGGACACTCAATGTGGCAGGGCAATCACAAAACCAGCAACAGGGCTCTGAACTCAGCTCTGCTCCATCTAGAAATGCTCACTTTACTTCTCCAGCCTGAAGGGTCAAGGCCTCTCTTTCTCTTTTTCTTTCTTTTTTTAAAATACTAATTTATTATTATTTTATGTGGATGAATGTATTGCCTGCATATGTATAAGTGCACCCGTGTCATGCAATGCCCATGGAGGTTAGATCCCCTGGAATTGGAGATAAGGATGATTGTTAGCTGCCATGTGGCTGCTAGGAATCAAACCTCGGTCCTCTGCAAGAGCAGACAGTGCTCTTAACTGTGGAGCCATCATCTCTCTAGCCCGTCCTCTCTTTTTCTTCAGCTCCACAGTCCAGCATCATAGTTAACTACTTTATAATGCCCCTCCCTCCTATGCTCCACAGAGGCCCCCACACTTGGGATCATCAGCTGACACTTTCAGACTGACCTTCTCATCATCTTTACAATTTGCCTTTTTCCTTTAGCCTTATTGTCTGGCTCTTTAGGCTGTAGTTGGGCCTGAAGTATAAACTTATTTTTTCAATTGCCCCATTCTTTAGCTCCATCCTTAGGTCATGACTGCTCATAGAGGTTTCCCAGCATCCTCTGGGGTCAGTGACCATCCACGTTCCCTACAGGAGCTGTGCCAGATGCAGAGTCATGTCAGTGACATGTCTGTGGTCCTGTCCATGGACAACAACCGCTCCCTGGACCTGGACGGCATCATCGCCGAGGTCAAGGCCCAGTACGAGGACATCACGCAGAGGAGCAAGGCTGAAGCGGAGGCTCTGTACCAGGCCAAGGTGGGGCCCTTCTCTTTGCTCCTAAGCTCCTCAAACTCTGATGAATTTCATCAAGAATGTGCTAACACTTAGGGCTGGAGGGATGGCTCAGTGTTTAAGAGCAATGGCTGTCCTTGTAGAGGACCCAGTTTCGGTTCCTACCACCCACTGTCTGTAACTTCAGTTCTAGGGGATCTGATGCCTTCTTCTGGTCTCCACGGGCATTGTATGCATGTGGTGTACTTACACACATACAGGCAAAACACTCATACAAATAAAACAAATATACAAATAATTTAAAAAGAATGTGCCAGTGCTTTACAAATCCATGCTGATTAGTTTTTCCTCTGTCAGTTTGGGGAACTGCAGACCACAGCCGGCAGGCATGGTGATGACCTGACAAACACCAAGAGTGAGATCCTGGAGCTCAACAGGATAGTGCAGAGGCTGCGGGCGGAGATCGAGAACGTCAAGAAGCAGGTGTGGCCAGACTTCATGGAGTGATCTTGGAGGTTTGAGGCTGGGAGAAGAGGAAGCAGCAGCCAAGTGCTTTCTTCCTCCTTTCCCGGTGTCACAGCCTCTGGGAGTCTCTGTTGTCCAGCTGTCTTTCCTGGAGGCTGGGCTTCTTTGGGATGTTCCTGAAGGAGATACACAGCTGCGCACTCCGGTCTATACAGCAAACCTGACAACTGCAGCGCTGGCCTTAAACATTCAACTGTGCTCTGCTCTGGAGTTTCTTACCATACTTCACACAACTCCAGTGACTGTTTTGTTTTACTGGAATGAAGTAATCATGGAAGGGTGTTTTTAACATCTTGCCAAAAAGATCAGAGGCTAACCACGCTACTATTATCTTTGTCAGCTCAGGAAAGCAGATTGACGCTTCTTCTCTTGACGAGAGACATAAGCTTATTTCAATGGGCCACAGATGAGTTAGCCGATTGCAACATTGACTGACCTGTGGGCACGCTCCATTGGAAAAGGGAGGGAGGAGGTCCCCTCCCAAGAACAATCAGGCATTTGTCTCTTAGGCACGATGATAATTCATATTTTACCTTCCTCTGCCCCAGAATGCCAATCTGCAGACGTCCATTGCGGAAGCTGAGCAGCGTGGTGACATGGCCCTCAAGGATGCCAATGCCAAACTCCAAGACCTGCAGGCCGCACTGCAGAAAGCTAAGGATGACCTGGCCCGACTGCTCCGAGACTACCAGGAGCTGATGAACGTCAAGCTGGCCCTGGACATGGAGATCGCCACCTACCGCAAGCTGCTGGAGGGCGAGGAGTGCAGGTGAGGGGATGTGGGATCAGTATTCTCCAGGAATGGTTTTAGAGGGACCTTTGATAATGAAGAAAGGAACAAGATGATGACAAAAGGAGAACCCAACTTGGACAGAGGGCAGGGAGTCTCCTGAGCAACAGAAGAGGGTATTGAGATTCACTGGTTTTCACCAGTCATTACCATCTAATTATTCAACTTGTCATGGACACAATAGTGAACCATATATTTCTGTTTGTTTTTACTATGTGACATGTGATAGAAAAAGTATTTTGGGGTTGTGACTAAAGCTATAGACCAGGGCTGCCCACTGGACCTTTTAAAGATGAAATTTATTCCTGTGCTATCTGATAGAGCAGCCATTAACCTCCTGAGTCCCTTCCTTCCTTCCTTCCTTCCTTCCTTCCTTCCTTCCTTCCTTCCTTCCTTCCTTCCTTCCTTCCTTCCTTCCTTCCTTCTCTCCCCCCCTCCCTCCCTCCCTCTCTCTCTCTCCGTTTCCTCCCTTTCTTCTTCCCTCTCACTGCCCCCGCCCCCCTTTTGAGACAGAGTCTCATTCTGTAGCCCCAGCTGGTCTTGAGTTCCTGTCCTGATCCTTCTGTCTTGACCTCCCAAGTCCTGGGATTACAGCTTATGCCAGCATGCCTGGCTCATTCCAGAGTTTGAAGTGGGCACACTGTAGTTAAGGATCTGAGTTTTACTTTAAATTGGGGCTGGAGAGATGGCTCAGTGGTTAAGAACACTGGCTGTTCTTGCAGAAGACCCAGGTTTGATTCCCAGCACCCACATGGCAGCTAACAACTGTCCATAACTCCATTTCCAGGGGATCCGACGGCCTCTTCTGACCTCTGTGGGCACTGCATGACATGGGTGTACTTACCTACATGTAGGCAATACACACATACACATAAAATAAAAATAAATTTTTAAAAAAGCTTTAAAGAATTCAAAAGGAAATCACATGTAAGTGGACATTTGCATATGAGGGGACTGCTGAAGGCTGAACCAGGACTCTATGCAGGTTAAACCCTAACCATCGAGAGGATTCACTTCACAGCATCCCAAGAGGTCTCTGTTCTCAAAGAAGCCCAGAATGGCCCT